TGGAGAGACTTTGAAAATGTCATTGAAATAATGTCTGGGCACAGTTGATTGAACTTATATAAACTCTTTGAAAGTCGGATTCACTAGCATTCATGTTTGATCTAGTTAAACCAATAAAATACAGGATGTAATCTTTATATAATTACAAAAGTCCCGCTGTCTGATCCTACCTCGAGGTTACAATGATGCTTCTAGAGGTAAACGTCTTTCTTGCCTAATGTGCTGGGACTCTATTTTGCTGGCTTTAAGCCAGAACAAGACTTTATTGCAAGTACTGTATTTTATTTTTGTTGTCAAGTGACTTAACTGGTGAAGCCTATTGTAATCTGACTAAGAACTTCCCCCCAGGGCAGGATGTTGAAATATACTGGATTCTTTTATTTTCCATTGCTCTTCTGCTCAAAGAGCATTCCAGGTGAGCAACAGAGGTGGATGGTGCAGGGCACGTGCACACCTGGCCTCAACACAGTGGCCGGAGTTAATCGGGGCTTTACCGACATCCTTGGTGCCATTAGACAGGGTTCTTAGAAGTTCTTTGTAGAGACAAATAGTATGGCAAACTCCGACTGATAAAGGCAGAAGCACAGAGCAGCTGCAGAACCTTGACGTGGGGGGAATGGTTTTAAGAAAAACAGGAAATCCAAAACTCGAAAAGGAAATAGAGACACATTTTGGATGAAACATAAATGTGTGTATGTGTGTGTGTGTGTGTGTGTGTGTGTATGTAGAAAATTTCTGCATGGGGAAAACTCCATGAATAAATTCAGAAGACAAATGATGCACTGGAAAATTTTTATAATACCTGTTACAGAAAAATGATTATTAAATCTAATTGGTATTAATAGCTGCTACAATTGATAAGAAAAAAGTAAACAATCCAAATAGAAGTGGTAAAATGCACAGACAATTCGCAGTCAAGGAAATACAAATGGCCAAAGGAAATTAAAGCAAAAATCAGACCATCGCCCACTCACCATATTGGCACAAGGTGGAAGACTGCTCCCTCCCAGGGAAGAAAATGTGGTGGTCTCCCCCGTCTGAGCCTCGCTAATAAGCTCGCACTGGTTAGTGTAGGATGGAGGATGAGCGCTACGTATATATAAGAGCTGAGAGATTGTAAATCCAGGATTACTCCCCGGCTCCTGAAAACAATAATGATGACAAACAACAAAATAGCGTCAATATTAACAATGGCCTTTTTTTCTGACATCTGACTCTGTGCCAAACATTTTGCTAAATACTTTACGTGGATTATCTTTTTAATCTTCCCAAGCATCCGATGACATACTATCTTCAGGAATAAAAAAAATCGTTAACATAATAATCTTTCGGGCTTGCTTGCTATTGCCCCAAATATTTCTTTCTGACAGAGCTTTGATTAGTGGAAAATTTTGCTTAAAAGGTAGGTGCGTTGGTTGAAGAAGCACATTGATATTAATTCCCAATAAAATGTAAGCAGCAGATAGGCTCTGTGCTGTTGGCTTTCTTCTCAGTTTGATGGCTGTGGGAGCTGTGGGATCAAACTGGGAGCCAATTAGACGAGTGTTGAGTTTCATCATGGGCGGGGCAGGAGCGTTTGCATTTGCTGAGCAGCTGAAAGCAATCCTTGCTGGGTTCTTGGTGTTTTTGTTGTTGAGGATTGGCCATTTTACCTAAAGTCAGAGAGAACAGAAGGAAGCTAATCAGGTATGCCATGGACAGAAGTTGTCACAGCTCTAACTCTCCATTTTTTTAAGCCTCTGACATTTATTAAATAAAAAATTTATTTCCGGCAAAATGTCCAAATCCACTGTAATCTTTCTACCTCTTTACCCAATCTCCTCTCCTATTCTCTGCTCTAACCCACCCATCTGATCTGCTGCTTCCTGAATGTAATGATGTGCAGGACCGTCCCGACCGATCCTTACCTTTCTTTCCAAGACTTTAAATCTGGAGATGCCTTAGAACCCACTGCCAATATCACCCTGGGTCTAACCACAGCATTACTCCTTGTGATGTTCGCAGTTAAGTTTACCACTGGCTTCTTGACTGTGGATGTTTATTTGGCTTCTATGACTCTCAGTTTCTGAAGTGTAAAAATGGGCAAATGCAGCTCGTGTCGTCATCCGAGATGACTCTGTGGGGCGAATATGCCAAACACCAAAGCAAGTGCCTGCCACGTAGATGTGGTCAAGAGTATAATAATGATAATATTTATCGATGATAATTGTGTGAAAGGCACATTACCCCATTAGTGATGTTTTTGTCAACCACTAATCTGGGGCAGGCAGCAGTTGCCGTGCCTACTTTTTTGGCCCCAGTCACCCTCCCATGGCCTTTGACGGATGCCATCTTTGTGAGTGCTGGGAGCTGGTCCAGCTGCTAGTGTGAGACACTCAAGCAAAGAGGAAACAGGAAGCCCTGTCTCCTGGACCTCACTCTAGCTGTGGAGCTAAGAGGTGGATAAAAGAAAATATATACCACGGCAGGAGAGAGTACGATACATCTCTCAAGAGCAGTAGAGCAAATGCAGCGGCAGTTAAGGGTCCCCTTATCTCCTCCAGAGGTCCTGCCCAACTGTCTGGGAAAAGAAAGATCTGGAAGGGAAGGAGGTGGGAGCTGGGCCCATGTCAAGGTTCCTACCACAAGGTTCCCACCCTCTGACATGACTCAAGGAGGCTGAAGGTCCTCAGACCATGACCCTGGTGAAAAAGATCTCCCAGAACTGGCCTTGACCCAGTCTGCAAGATCGGAGTCCATTCACTTCAGCCCTGAGTCTCTTTAGAAGGTACTTCACCACTTTCCATCCTTGGGTAATGAGCCTGGAGCACTCGAGTTGAGGCCAGGGTGTGCTCTGACAGATGTGGTCCTTGGGAGTCCCTGCAGGAGCCAACCCTGCCCAGGGCAGGTGGGAAAGGCCCTTCCTGGGCAACTTGGTGAGGGTGGCTCTCACTTAGGAGTTCTCCAAAGCTGCCCTGGACCCTGCTCTCAGCTTTTCCATAGTGTGCTTCTCAGTGTCTGGCCCCTGCTTTTTGCAGTTGTCACCCTGTTTATGACTGCACCTCAGTCTGCCTGACCCCGGGTGAACTTTTAGTTTGTCACCAAGCCAAGGGCTCCTTTTATGAGGGCACACACAATGCCCTCTCTCTTGCACCCTTTCTCTTAACACCTCGTTTCCAGTAATTAACCATGTCCACTATTGGTCCAGCTTTGACTCGTACTCAATCTAATTATTTCTCTGATGTCAACCCTGCCAAAAATCATACTTAACCTCATCCCAGGCTATTCATATACTTTCCCAGCTTCAGTCCTCGCTTGTCTTGCCAACGAACATTGATATGTAGACAGAGATGAGGGCCCCCTGAGGAAGCATGGGGCTCACAAGGGGGATGAGTAGGTTGATACCAGATTAGCTAAAATTGTACGTATGTGTAGCAACTTTGGGGAGTAAAGGCTGCAAAGGAGAGTTAGGACCATATCACAGATTTAATAGTTAAAGCTTTACCATGGGACTGAGGTCTTTTAGCCCAATGACGTCCAAATAGAAGAGGAAAATTTCTAATTCTATACAGTTGGGAATTATTCAGTGGTTTTGGGAATCCTATATTATCAAGATATATTTTTGGGAATAGGATATATTAATATATATTATTGGGAGTGGAAGAGCAAAATGTGGTATATACGTACAATGGAATTTGACAACAAAAAAGTGAAATACTGATCTTTGTGACAATATACATGAAGCAAAAATCCTGCACCATTTAGGTATAATGTAAAACATGAAATGGAAGAAGCTAGACACAGAAGACCACATATCGTGTGATCCCGTTTATATGGCGTGTCCAGAACAGGTGAATCTACGGAGAAAGAAATTAGATTAGTGGTTGCCTGGGCCTCGGGGGAGGAGAAACGGGGAGTAGCTTCTAGTGGGCACAGGTTTCTCTCTGGGCTGATGAAAATGTTCAAAAATTAGTGGTGATGGCTGCACAGCCCTGTGAATGTACTAAAAACCATTGGATTGTACACTTTAAATGAGTGATTTTTATGTATGTGAATTATGTATCAGTAAACTTGTTATAAAATATTTTTAAAAAGATATGTTAGTTCAGTTTTCTTTCCTCTCAACTGCAAACATAATACTATTCTATCCATACTGATGTTCTTAAAACCAACAGTTTAGAAGTTCAAACGTAGGAAATGAGCTGCTTTATTTCATATCTCATCCTTGAACTTCAGAGAACTGGAGGCTGTAGCTTCTTAATTATTGGATGATGGTTTCTACCCCAGCCTAGCACAATCTGACATAAAATATCACAACCAAAGGAAAAACCATGACCTAAGTTTTAGTCTTTCGAAGGAGAAGTTTCAAGCAGAAATTTGAATGCTAAGGATAATCTATCATAGTCCTAACGTTGGTTGTGCATAGAGTGAATGCCAAGCCATGCTGAGTGGTTTATGGATATTGTTTCCTTTAGTCATCCCAATGCCCTCATGCATGAGATTTTGTCGTTTTGCTTTACAAATGGATAAACTGAGGCACAGAGATAGTCTCTTGTCCATAGTCACATGTCCAGTAAAAGGGAAAGAAAAGGCTTTTGCCATGGGATCTGACTTCCAAGCTAAACTCTTATTACTGTGAATTGATTGAGATCAAAAAGCCTGCAGGCTGCCCAGCTTGTAAATTTACCAAAACTGGTTACTACGGAAGAAGCATGTAGTGTTCCTTTTCCTGCTGGCCTGTACTTCAGTGCTCACACACCGGGAGAGATGGCTCAGACATGCTTCCTTTTCAACAGCTAGAGACGTTTATTATTTTATGTGTATTTATGTCATGAAGTCAAGGACAAAATAGGATTTACATTAGAAACATATTTTCTATCTTAGGAAGAGAAACATATCAGGATGGTGAAATTGGTCTTTTGTTAATGCAAATATTTAAAAATTATATTCACACGCACATGTATATGTAGTTTTCATTTAGAAAGTTATTTAATGCATCAATATATCTTTTCTTTTTGCAGAACAATGGTTCCCTGGTTTGGTGTCAGAATCACAAGCAATGTTCTAAGGTACGTTCCCTACTATTGTGTCAGTATTTTTAAAAACTTAATTTTGGAATAATTTTAGAGTCACAGGAAGTTGCAGAGATAGTACAGAGAAATCACAGGTACTCTTCGCCCACTTCCCACCAGTGGGTACACTTTATGTATTTGTAGGTCAAAAGCAGAAAGTTGACATTTGTACGGTGTGTCTAGTTCTGTGAGGTTTGATGACGTGTAGATTCAGTTAGTGGAGCCGCCACTGAAGTCAAGATACATGTATTAAAATTCTGTATACTACATTATTTCTCTCTTTATTCTGTAGTTTTTTTACTAAAAAAAATTTTTATGGAGAAAGCATCTTCCGGTTAGACCAGAAGATTTAATGCATTCTGCTTACCCCTAAGTTATTTTGTATGTAGTTTTGTTTGTATGTCGGAATTGCTGGTTAAATTGATTTGATTCTTTAAATAAGCAGTCTCTTTTCTATTCTTGAGTCTTTCTTGCTCCCTGCACATTCTCTAAAGTTGTCGTTATACTCATTCATATGTTTAATAGCTTAAATTCTTACCTCAGTCCCGAAACATCAGAACCTTTAAAATAGATACATGTGATGGTACTTGAGCTCCAGTCTGGAAATGGAAGGAGGTTTTATATTCAGATTATATAAATGAATAAAGCTTCAACTTGCTAAAAATATTGGCGTACCTTTGGGATCGTAATAGTGTTTGATGAGATTTATTTCATGGACATTACTATTAGACCTAAAATTGAAGCATTCCTTTATTTTATAACCAAATTTCATGTGAGCAATACGCAATAATACTGAAATAGCATATTTATGAAGATCGTTATTATTTTGAAGGGTCTTTCAAACACATTATCTCAAAGAAAATGATTGTAGAATAATATTCCCAAACCCAAAAGCTTATTGTAATGATACATTCCTACATTTGTGCACGCATTGTCATCTAATACACATGAATGCTATTACAAATAGAGCAGAATTATTATGTGAATGTGAAATAATTTGGAGAAAAAAAGCTTTGCTTAGCTCTGACTCTAGATCCTGGGCAGAAATGAAATGTCTGGTTTATGATAATTTTACTCGTTTTGTATAATATCATAAGCATTTGCTTTGATAAGCCATTTTCTGGTATCTCTTATATTAATTGTTCTTCAACTGGAGTTTTGGGTAATTTTTTTGTGTCACCATTGCAGGAAAGATGCTGTCTCTCACTTTCTCTTTCTCTATATACATATATATATAGTCTGACTGGATTTTATAAGTGGTGTTTTTGTCCAGTTTTGCATAAATTGAGTATTACATAAATGATAATTTTTGTTTCAGTATTACTTCTCATTTAAGCACCCCCTTTCTCCTTATACTATCAAGAAATTAATTCTTTTTTACACCTGAAATTTTAATGGAAGAGTTTCATTTGAACTGTTTAAAAAATATCCTAATTAAAGAAAATTGCAGCTCCAGGGAACAGATTGTCAAACCCTATATTGTAATTGAATGATCAAGGCTGACATGAGAGACTGAATTTCACAAGAGAAGAAATCAACTCCTTTTGCCCCAAAGCAGAAATGACTCAATAAGTCACAGCTAACTCCAGCAGAAACTCTGGAACCTTTCACAAGGCTGACAGGAATTTAAGGGTTGTCTTGAGTCTGAATCCTTGGGAACGAATCTTACGTGTTAATCAAAGTTGATCTCCTTTGGGTGTTATCACTGCTGGATACATTTGCAGATCATTGCAGTTGGCATTTCTTTTGAGACTCAGGAAGCACTATGTACGCTTTTCCTCTGAATCTTTAGGTGAGCCGTGGTCAAGTCGGGAACGCTGTCTCCCATGTTGTGCTGCATAGGCATCAGCAACTTGAAAAACCATTTTGAAGAAATATTGGGACCGAAGAGTAAAAAATATCAAAACCAAACCCAGAAGAAATGTTGATGATACACTTTTCTGAATATGTGTTAAAAGATAAGGTTGATATTTTATAGAAACCACACACTTTCTAATCATTTCTGGTTATCATCTGCAAAGGCTGTCCCCTTCAGAGTCCCTCCAGAATATGATCTCTTCTTCCCGTCTAACTGCCCCCTCTGTCCAGTCTGCCATCCTCTCTTGCCTGGACGGACCCAGGAGCATCCCGTTGGGTGTCCCAGCTTGTATTCTTGTTCCACGTGGCTGCTGGAATGACCCTTTAAACGTATAAGTTGAATCACGCTGCTGTCTACCTTAAAACCTTTTGATATCTTCCCATCTCGCTCAGTCTGAAACGCTGATCCTGTCTTGTCTGCCTGTGCTCTCCCTCCAACTTTCTCCTTCTGCTCTTCCCCGTCAAGGCTGCTTTCCCTCCACCCGGATGCTCCTTCGGCAGAGAGTCACCTAGCCCACCCTTCTTCTCACTTGCGTCTCAGCACAAATGCCACCCTCTCAGCCTTGCCTTTCCGGATCACCCTTCGCCCATTTACCTGCTCCGTTGTCCATATCACACCCGACATGGCATTATACAGTTCATCCTTTGTTTGCTGGGAGTCTGTCTCCTTCAGCAGAGAGTAAACTCTCTGGGGCATCCGCTCTGTTCTCTTTCTTCGCTGTGCTGTCCTCAGAGTCTACAATGGTATTTGGCACAGAGTAGCTGCTCAGGTATTTGTGATGGATGAATGAGTGAATGAAGCCCATACATTACATTTTTTCCTCTCCAAAGTATATCATTACTGCATTACCTTTAGGAAAAAGTAATATAGCATCTATTTTGTACCTGTGTAACTTAGCGTGATTGTTACTCGTTGGGGGATTCTGCGCCTTTTTTCTTTGGTGAATCCGGCATAGTGAAATCCGCCCTACGAACTCAAGGGTCTTCGGCAGCATTCCACTCCTGGATGGTATAGACTAGTGACGTATGGTCCTGCCGAAGTGGAAGCCAGTGGTTCTTAACCAGGGGCTATTTTGCTCCCAAGGGGACATTTGGTGGTGGCAGAAGACATTTTTGGTTGTCGCAGTTACTGGCATCTAGTGGGTGGAGGCTAGAGATGCTGATAAACAAGCTACAATGCGCAGGGCAGCCCCCACAGCGAAGAGTTACCTGGTTCCAGATGTCAGTAGTGCTGAGGGTGAGAAACCCTGGTCTGTGCATTTTGGGAGTTATGAAAGAAGTTAAGAATATAGTCTTATTTTCAGCAGTTTTACCTTATTGTATGAAAGAAAATAAACATATAATTTACTGAGCGTGTGGTTCGTGCCAACTGCCCTTTCAGGGGCTTGTTTTGTGGAGGATTCCAGTTCTCATCACATGCTCTCTAACGCGGGTGGGTGGATTGCTCTTTGCCTCTTAATCTCGTTTCTCCTCTTCTCCACTAACCCAAACCTAATTCCTCACCTAAACACATTGCCACCTAGAATTAAATATTTACATTCCCCCAAGTTCCCTTGCTGCTAAATATGGCCATCTCATTTTCTAGTCCATTATATGCAGGTGGTATTATTGTGAACGACTTTCGAGATGCCGCTTTATTCTTTGTTTTTGTTTTTGGTGAGGAAGATTGGCCCTGAGCTAACATCTGTTGCCAATCTTCCTCTTTTTGCTTGAGGAAGATTGTCCCTGAGCTAAGGTCTGTGCCAATCTTCCTCTATTTTTTATGTGGCATGCCACCACAGCATGGCTTGATGAGTGGTGTGTAAGTCCATGCCTGGGATCCGCACCTGTGAACCCCGGGCTGCTGAAGTGGAGCGCATGAACTTAACCACTATGCCACTGGGCCGGCCCCTCGAGACGCCTCATTAAAGGGAACTGATTTAGCTAGAAAATGCACTCATTTGCTCTTCCCCCTTTCTCTCCTCTGCTGCTTAGAATGCAGACCAATGGCAGAGGCTCCAGCAGCTATCTGGGGCCATGAGTTACCTTTGAGGATGGAGGCCAGCCTGACAATAGCTAATAAGAAATGTAGAAGGATTCTGGGTCTTTGATAGCACGGAGCCCCCGTAGCAGTCTTGAACTTCTCAAATTATTTGCGTGTAGGAGGCGGATAACTTTCTGTCTTGTCTAAGCCACCGTGCTTTTACATTTTTTTGTTCTCTGAGGATGGACTTGTGTGTCAGTGGGCCTAATCTTGACTTTGTAATTGGTATGACCATCTCCATTTTACAGAGGCTCAGGAACGTTGGGTGAACTTCTTACAATGTCACTCAACTAGCAAGTACTAGTAAATACAGGGATGGAATTTGAACTGAGTTCTGGCTAAAACAGAAGCCAATGGCTTTCTCATTGTACACCCCATTGTATTAGAGAACAATACAACAATTTTGGAAGATCTTTGCTCAGTTCAGCATTTGGTTCTTCCAGCGCTCTGGGCTTTTTCCTGAGTCACTCTTGTGGCTCCTGTGAATTGTACAAATTCCTGGCAAAACTGTGGCCCAGCTCTAGCGAGAGAGTCATTGTTCTCTTTCTTGCTTTCGTATCCCTGTCATCCAGTGGGCGGTCAGGAAGATGCAGTCTAAAGATGGCCCTCTCTGCTGGTTCAGCCTCGTTTAGGGATGCACAGTAAATGCCTGGAGAGATGGATTCCTTAGAAATTCCTCCATGAAGGTGGTTTTTCACACTGAGAGTGCGCTTAACTCAGAGGGACGTGGTTTGCTCTTGGGCACTCCAAATTAAACTGTTTGCAAAGTTGACATCTGAGCTAAGTCTCAGTCTAGGATGATTAGGGGCAAACATTTTAAATACACCAAATCTACTGAAAATGCTGCCTTTAGAATAACTTATTTTTAGTACTTCAATTTTAGTAGTAACTAAATAATAAGATCATCTATTCCTAATTAAGAAAGTAAACATGCTTTTGACATAAAAGAGAAAATATGTTTTTCTGTTCTATCTAAATAATTTTTCTCATAAATTTTTATCTTAATTTTTTAGTCTAAGCCATCCTAAGTGCTTTTTGAAATATTACTGTGGTACCCTAAAAGATACTAATAAAATGTGCCCTATTTCCATTTTAATGGTACTTTTGAGTTAATTCT